TCCAGATGTTGGTGCTGTTTTTGCTTCAGAGGGCTGGGTGGACTTCTATGTTGATGATGAACATGATTGGATGATATAGCTAGTTTGAGATGGTGAAGATCTGGAAAATCATCAAAGGAAGATGAAGGATGATGGGCTATATGGTTCAATTCTGAAATGTGCTAAGCATCATGCAATTGTGGATATTAGAAGGGGTATAGGTAGACCCCACAACCTGAAATCAGGTGTCATTTATGTTGTATGTTCACAGGACTGTTCCAGTGTGGAAATATGTATTAATAGTATCTGGGACAAGGTTTGGTTGTGTGGAAGTAGAGATTTGTACACTGAGTTGGGTATCTCAGTGACATCTTATTGACAACTGAAAGAAATGTTAAATAATTCAACCTCTTTAGTTTCTAGTCCAAAGCACAATATTTTTACTAAGGCATCAAGTTTATGCACTCGCTGCTTAATGACATAAAAATGAAAATGTTCATAAAGTAATTGCATCCAACCACTGGTGGAACTATGCAAATGGCTAATTTCTTTAATAAAGTTATCTTTGCATCCATTAGTATTAGTTACAAAAAAATTTTTTTTTCAAAAATTGTTGAATTTGAAATAGAAATATTGGTTAGTCATCCTCTTAAATACAGACTTGATTTGAACAAAAGTACAACAGCTCAATAAGCCAGAATAAGAAGCAAATTAGTTATCTGACTTCTTGATAAATTTCATAAGTGATTTTTTCTTTATCTAGATATTCCCAAAAAACTTTGGTATTATTCATTTTAAAAACATAAAGTGCAATTTTTTCTCCTTGCTCCTTCCTTAAAATACTTCTAATAGTGCTGTAATTCTTGGGTTCCATAGTAGACCTAATTTAATCATATCAACTATTTTATATAGAGGTAATTCTATATATCACCTAATATTAAGAGGTTAACAAATGGGATATTATAAAACTGATAATTATAATCACATTTCAAATGACTAAATTTTGATCCCCGAAATTCTTGGTAATACAGTGTGTGTCACAATAATACATCCAAAATAATTGGTCTTCTTAAAATTGACATGGATCAAATTCCCATGCACTTTTTGAAAAAAAAACAACGTTAATCAATTATTTTAGTTAAGAGCTATTGAGCTACGTTGAGCCTTTTTAAATAAGTTCAGTGTAACAAGAGTCATGTCAGGTTAAAGTTTGAAAATTCTATTATAAAAGTTATAAAAATTCTGAAATTGGCACCTTATAATTTTGGTCAATTTCGTCTAATGTTGGCCCGACTTATAAAATAAAATGTCGCGTATCAATTTAATTAATTCGCGTAAATTGAATCACAATCTTTCAAAATATTCTTTTTTGCTAATTTTTCTTCTAATAAAAATCCTAAAATACTTAAAATGGTTGGAATTAAAAAAAGAACTCAACACTTAAAAAATATTGCTAAAATTTCTGTGCAGTGAAGACAAGAAAAACAAAAAATACAAGAGGATAATGAAATTTAGTGAGAAATTATTGTTTTATTTGCTAAGTATAACTTGATAATTAAATTAAATTTTTCTTTTTTTGGAGAAAATAGTGATTCTGCTAATTCTGATGATTTTGAAGAAATGATTTCATATTTTGATGAAGAATTTGAAAATAACAGTGAATCTTTATTCCAATTACTGATTAATTATATGAAAAATTATAAAGCCAAAAGACCTTTAACCTATCATGGAAATTCAACAAGAGCACAAAAAAGAAGAAAGGCATCAACAAAAGAAAATATCAATAAAAATGGTCAAACTCTTGATCAATTTTTTATTTTAAAAAAAGATTCTAGTAAAGAAATGACACAGAATAATGATTCACAAAGTTCCGAAACAGTTAATAATGAATTAGAAATAGTTGATAATTTTCAAAAAATAAATTATGATTATTTGTTAAAAGATATTGAAATCAAACTTGATGAATCATTTGATATTGCAAAAAGTTATAATCTAAGATTAAAAGCTTTGCAACATTATTTTCAATTATTAAAAAGAAATCATAAAAAATTTGAAGCAGCAAATTTAGTTTCAAAAATCTTAAATAAAGGCCCATGGTTTTCAAAATGTATAAGAAGTTGGGGAAAGTCATTTATAGAATATGGTGATATTTCATATAAAAAAAGAGGCAAACATTTAAGAGGAAGTATTATTGATGAAGATGTTCAGATTAAAATATCATCTTTTTTAAGAAAGGAAAAATTTAATGTGACTGTAAATAATTTTAAAGAATTTATTGCTAAAGATATATTTCCTAGTATAGGAGTTGAAAATGAGACAGCAATCAGGTGAGAAGAAGAATATTTTTTTTGTAAACTATTCTTAATTAACAAAAATTTTTTTTTTAAGTTTATCAACAGCAAACAGGTGGTGAAGAAAATGGGCTATGTATATGACAAATATAAAAAAGGTCTTTATTTTGATGGACATGAAAGAAGTGATGTGGTTGAATATAGAAGTAAATTTTTAGAGGAAATAGAGTTGTGAGTTATGAGTTTATTATAACGATCATCATCTAAAAACATAATTAATCAATGCTTTGATTTTTAATATAGATATCAGAAATTAATGCCAACATTTACAGGTGATAATCTTGAAATCCAAATCAATCCAGAATTAAATGAAGGAGAAAAACTTCATATATTGGTAACAAATGATGAAACTACCTTTCAATCAAATGATGGATTGAAATCTGGGTGGATGCCTGAAGGAGAACAACCTTTGAGGAAAAAAGGACAAGGCAGATCAATCCATGTAAGTGAATTTGTTACTAACACAATTGGAAGATTAAAACTGAATCAACAACAGGTTTATGAGTTTGGAGAGTCAGTTCCTCATGAGGCAAGGGTAATGATGAATCTAGGAAAAAATTTTGATGGATGGTGGAATGTTGAAAAATTAATTGATCAAGTAATGTTTCAATTTAACTGAAATCTTACTAAATTGAAAAAAAGTTAAAGATTTTTTATTATAGATAATTAAACATGCAATTCCAATATTTGAAGCCACTCACCCAGGTGCAGTTGCAGTTTTTGCCTTTGACAATTCTTCAAGTCATGCCAAAATTGCAGACAATGCTTTAAATGTAAATAATATGAATTTAAATCCTGGTGGGAAAAAACCTAAACTGCAAGACACAATCTTTAATGGAAAAATTCAAACAATGAATTTTCCTGATGACTTTCATGATCCTAAATTATGTGGAAAACCCAAAGGAATAAAATTAATTTTGGAAGAACGTGGATTATGGCCAAAAGAAGGGTTAATATTAACTTGCAATAATAATAATATTGAAGAAATTACAAACTATCCAGATTGTTGTGCAAGACATAAATTAGGAGCACAACCAGATTTTGTAGCTCAAATACCTTTAATACAGGAAATCATTGAAAGCACATGGCCATAGGTGATGTTCTATCCAAAATACCATTGTGAATTAAATTACATTGAGATGTATTGGGGTGCAGCAAAGAGGTATGCAAGAGAAAACTGCAACTATACCTGGAAAGGTCTGGAGAAAACTGTTCCTTTGGCATTAGACTCTGTTTCTTTAAATTCAATTTGTAAATTTGAAAGGAAGTCAGCTCGTTATATGGATTGTTATAGAAAAGGCTTGAATATGAAACAAGCTGAGTATGCTGTAAAAAAATACAAGTCTCATAGAAAAATACCAGACTCAATCTTGACAGAAATAGATATTTAATTCATTAATATAACTTTTTAAAAAAAAATAAAAAATAAATTTTTATCACGTGCAAACTTCATGATAATTTGGCCCCTCTATATAAAAATGGATGTATTATTGTGACATTGGATATTTACCATTACGATTATTCTCAATTCTTTTTTACCGAATCTAAATCTTTTTTTTTTGGTGACATACTGATATATTTAAAATCAATATTTAGCCATATCTTTGTATGAAAATTTGGTCGGTTTAATTAATCACTTCAATTTTGTCAATTTTCAATTTCGTCAATTTCGTCAACCATTCTTTTAATATTAATATAATAAAATTCAGATTATGACTACATTTGGAATCATCCAATCAAATTTCAACACTGCTATACGCATCTTTACATGTAGAACTCTACAACAAATTATTGCGTTAAAACTAAAGACCTATTCTATTAACCAATAATGCTATTTTTAGGTCTTTAGACCGAGCCAATTATAGAATAAAATATAAATGAAATTTTGATAGAAAAAGAACAGAATATTTTTTAAAATGTAATTTCGACCAAAGCAAAGGAAAAAAATAAAAAAATTGTTTTTTAGCATTTCTCGCGCCCGCACAATCCAGCAGATAACCAAGTATTTACCGTCTATTATCACCAATATATTTTATCTCATAGTCGTGATAGTAGCTTCAGTACATCCGCCGCCTCATACATATAAGTATCATAATGATCAAGATTTGTTTCTTGCTGGGTATTGGTTTGATGATTATAGATATTATCTTGAAACAATAGTTGTTGCAAACAATTACATATATAAAAAAATTTTTTTTTGTTAGTAAGAACGAACGAATAAATTAGTTAATTAGTTAATTAATTTACATTACTTATAAATACCATCTATATTGATATGAGTGTCAACGACAATATTAACTGGATTTACGGGAATATGTACGTATATATTATCATTAGTACTATTTTTATTTTTATTTTTATTTTTATCATTGCTATTACCTTGTGTTTGTCTTATTTTTGGACTCGAAATACTAGAAGTACCTTTTAAATTAAGATTATCAGATATTACTCCATTGTTACCATGATAACATGGTTTAGTAACTTTGATAATATTATCAGCAGCATTGACATCACAATTTTTTGTTTCTTTTTCCTATTAATTAAAGAAAATAGATGATTATTTGAAACAAAGAAAGAGTATTGAAAAAATTTGATTTTTTTTTACCTTAGGTTTATTTTTGCTATTAAGTTTGCGACCTCGTTTTCCCGGATTTTCATCAAAAATGCATATTCTTTTCTCTTCAATGCACCTATTGCAAGAAGTAGAATTCTTCTCTTCTTTTACACACCTTAAACGTGCTCCGCGGCATGGATTGCATGCAATACGAGAATGCGTGCGCTTTACGTAAGGTTTTGTTTTTCGTGCTTCCTTCTTTTTCGGTCGTCTATTTGTTCGAATACTAAATGTATCTGGTTTCAATTCGGACTGTGGTGCCGTATGACCCGGTTGTTCATTAAAAGGATATACATCTAGATATGGGTAATATGGTAATTGAGAATTTGGTTGTAAATATGATATTTGACTATTATCCAATAATGTTGGATATATTTGAATCTGTTGTGGATAATGAGATTCGAGCAAACGATTGGAAAGTTGATTGTAATATTTATTGTGAATTTGCTGCTCGTTTAATAGAGGCGGATCCATTTTTTTTTAATAATTGATTAAAAAAATTTATAAATAAAAAAATTCAAAATTACGAAAGAAAATAAAATCGATAAGTGAAATTTTAGCAAACAGATTTATAGTTTTATATACAAATGAACTATATAAATTTTCTTCTGTTTAACTTTGTAACTTTCTAGAATCCCGTTATAGATACTAGTGATAAACATAAATATAAATATCATTATTAATGAGATTGTGTAAAAATTGAAAACAAATCATAGAAACCTTTCTTTAGAGAAATTAAGATTTCTTGGCCAAATTATTCGATAAATGGGAATTCTAAATTCGATATTTATTTACTGTGATATAGATTTTCTAAAAAGGCAAAAAATCTCTTTTGTCCAATAAAACTCTCAAACAAGAAATTGTATTACAAAATAAAAGCCCTACCTAATTACTTTTATTTTCTCAAAACTAGAGTAGCGAGTAATATATAGTTCAATAATCATCACCACCACCTTTTTTAATATACAGGAAAAAAAAACAAATATATATGTATAATTCTAATTTATATATATATATAAATATAAACGAAACACACAAAATAATAAAATCTATAATAAAAATGATCATAAATTGAAAAATTATATACATTTTTAAACCTCAAAAAAAAAAAAAATATTCAAAAATGAATCTTTCTTATTTTTTGATTGTTTTTTTTTTATAATGATTTTTAACAATCCCCTATGAAGAATAATTTTTTAACCTTTTAATTTCTTTTATTTTTAATAAAGAAAATTTATTATAAATTTAATAATATAATGATAGCATGATTATGAATGAATACAATATTAAAAAACTCACTTTAGTGGAAGTGAAATTATATGTTAAACCAAGTCCCATTTTTGAAGAAATTTTTGTCTATTGAGATACTGTTTGTTATAAAGGAGTTTCATTTAAAACACCTGATATATAAACAATCTTATTTGTTGGTCCGACTTCTATAATTACATCATCTGGATTTTTTACTGTAGGAACATTTGCTATAATGAAATATCATTTCTATTTCAAAACAAAAAAATAATTTAATTTTTTATCCATTCTTCAAAATAAGCCGCGTTTTTACCTGTATGATCAGGACCTTCCACAAAATCGGATAATGCTGGGTTAATAAGTTATATTTAATAAATAAATTTATGTGCATAAGGTAGGTATGTACAGAGAAAAGAGGAAACATCTTTCACAAGTGAGGGAGGACTTCAAACGAGACATTATTTTTAAATGAGGGGAAATAGTGGAAAACTACATTTGGGAATAGATACCTCTTACGACTTTGAAATCGCCTTCCATCCTTTATTATAAATTTTTTTTCAAGTTGCTCTTTTTGCAGGTTAGTTTGGTGTTGGATGATTAAGTTGGCTTTTTCTTGCCGGAGATTTTGTTCGGTGGCTTCTAGTTCTTTAATTCGCTGATGTTGGCCTTGGCTTCACTCATTAAGTTGGTTGATTTTAGTTTGTTTTTGCTCATTTTGTTCGGTCAGATTAGTAATGGTTTGACTAAGAGTTGACCTTTCTGCTTGGTGATTTTCTGTTAATTCTCCCCGTTCTCTTTCTCAGGTATCACGGTCAGCTTGTCAGTTTTGTTCGAGTTGAGTTAAGAGTTCGGTGGCTTCCTTTTTACTTACACGGATATGACTTTGAATTTAAAAGATCACCATTACAACTTTTTTTCTGCATACATTTTTTACGAATATGGGTGTTAGAGATACACTGTACATTTCACGTTAGTATCAGTTATTTAAGATATACTCTCTTTTTATTTGTAATTTAAAAAAGAGTTGTTTGAGATGAGTTGAGGGAGTCAATAACAAGATACCAAACAATCTATCTCCATCTACCTAGATATACTATTTGTTCTACCTGTTCTTCGTG